TGGCCACAAATTATTCTTTCCTTTGTGTAGAGATATTATTTTCTTCCCCTGCTTAATATTTCCATCACACAGAGACCAGCCTTTTCAGTGTACTATGCACTACACCACTGCCCACAAAAAGTTGTGCCCTCCAGGTACCCTGCCAGCACAGAAATGAAAATCTGAAAGACACTAACAACCTCTTGTTAAAGCCGACCTTCACTCACAAGAAGGCCCAGGCACCGCGCTGTGGATTGGCAATGGCAGTGTTTCATGGCACAAACAAGCAAGAAATTGGGAAAAAGGTGACATTGTGTCAGCACAGCTACATCAAAGGGAGTAGACATTCCTATCCCATTGGGAAGGGGCAGATTTAATCCTTTGTGTCCTGGTTTGAGGTAGCTTTCATTAGAGACAGGAGTGCTAACACCCCAGCACCCCAAAGTAAGAACTTGCCCCTACTTCAGAGGTAACTAATTCCCATGGTATACGCACATATCTGCTTAAATCTTCTGTCAATAAAAGCACTTTCTCAATGCTTCACCTCCCGCTCCCAAACAATGCTCAGGGATGACGGCAGGCACTCTGCCCACCCCACCCACCTGCAAATATCACAAGGTTTGTTTGCTTTACAGCCCCAAAATAAATTGTGATAATACAATCCAGCCTCCACATGTCAAAATGAAGTGCGCTAGATGAGGTTACTCACTAGACTACTGCCTGAGGAAAGGGAAGCCCTTCTGAAATACAGGGTTGGAGCAGAGAGAAAATAAGAGGAGACAGCAGAAGAAAAACTATTTACATCACTGAAGATTGCAGCGAGTATCCTCCAACCTTAAATAAAAAAGTTCCTTTGCTAGCTTAACACACAGACACATCTACAGGATGCCCTTGACCACAGAAGCTACCCTCACTGCTTTTTAGCAGCAGCTGTAACACAGGCAAAACATGGTCACAGCACAAGTGGTGGAAGTCGAGCGTCACAGAAATCACGCAGCAAAGATGGCAAGTCTATCAACACAAGCCTAGAACACCAAAAAAACCCAAGCTACATACACACAGCACACAATTAAAAATCTTGAAGGATTCAGTGCAGACCCTGACAATATACAAGCATGAACAGTGACTTCCTCAACCTTCTTGGCAGAGAAGCCAAGGAGAAGAGAGAAGCCTGAAACTGGATGAAACCTCATGTTCGTCTTTGAGAGATGAAAGAAAAATCGGAGTTTTAGTTATTTTGTGAGCCAAGTTTTCTTCAGGACGCCCTAACACAAAGCCTACATTCAGGCAGGTCTGCAGAGACTGCTCCACATCTGGAATTATCTCCTGAAAGAACTGAGAAATGAGATACTTTTCCTCCAGCAGAAAACACACCGCCTGAGGAAAGCCGCAAACAAACCACAACCTGCATCTTAAAGTAACCCTTGGGTGAAACAAGTCAAGAGCACGCTGCAGAAACCAGCCACAAAAGCCTTGGTAACCACAGCAGAGAGCGGAGCTGAGCCTACCACAAACATTTACATCCCGGTCAGGAGCACCATTCCAGACACCAGCAACAGGCAGAACGCTGCAGGCCACTTCCACAAAGCTTTAAAGTGTTTGAGACAGCCACTCAATTTTACACAAATGGGTAAAATTCATTAGATTAAGCCTCACCTATTCCTTCCCAAAGTAACTCCCCAAAACAAACATCACACAAGAGAAAAATAAAATAAACCAGTCATCTTCCAGGAAGAATTAGACTAAGGCAATGCAGAGAACGACTGTTCATTTCTTCTATGATCTAAGTCCTGTATCTGCCAGATAGGGAGGAAGAGAAGGGTATGAAAGAAAAACAAACATCTAGGGAACACTCAGACATACATGCAGCACTGGAGTTTTATTACAAATTCTTGCTAAATACTTACAACAAAATAAATCCCAAGAAGATTAAAGGAATAGAAAAGATTAAAAAAAATAATCTCAGTTTCACAGAGCTCAAAACCTGACCACCACTCTAACAGTAGTGAAAAAAAACAATCAACCTGTGGGATGGTGAAATGTCTGGAAGGACCCAGCGCTGACTGAGCTACATTTGCTCTAATTCAACTTCTTCAGTACTAAACTGAAAGGACAAGCAATTGGCACATTAGCTAGATCTAAGAGCTGCTACTCCAATTTGGAGAGATCATAAATACTATCTCTGACAGAAGCTTGAAAGGGTAACTATATAGGCAGAATAGAAAAGGTAATTCTACAGGGAAAAAATGAAGACTATTATATTTGAAAAACATGCTTGAAGATACATGAGAAAAAGGAGAGGCTACCTCTACAATATAAGTGTATGACATGAAATAGCAGCTAAAAAAAAAAAAAAAAACTATCAGCTGGGGTTCTGGGAGCAGAACAGGCTTGTACAGCATCTACAAGCACAGGGAACAATCCCTGGAGAAAGGGGACTCAATAACCACGTCAGATCTTTTCTCTCTCATCTTTAGTTGAGAAGGTAGCAATGAAATTATGAGAGCAAAAGATAAAGAAGTTATTCAGTATCAGAGGCGTCAAATGGTCACACAGGAATGAAGGACAGGGGATCCTAAACCACATTCACAGGCACAGCTAAGAAACGCAGCTCACAGCATTGTACCTGCACTTGCCCCAAAGCAATGAGCAGCCTGAGGAGGCAGGCAGTACCTGGGAAGGATCTGTCACCCGTAGCGTGACCACATCTTCGCTAGTGTATTTGATAAATAGATGGTTCTCATCCAAAAGCTGCATCTTCCACATGCGGAGCTGCCTCAACTGATCGAAATACTGGAAGAACCTTCTTTTTGCTATTGCACTTCCGTCCTGCTCAGCCCTTCTCCACAGGTACACCAGCAGCCTGTGCTTCAAAGAGTTTATAAAGGGCTCTTTGTAGGGATTGGCCATCCCCGTCTGAGTGTCCCGCTGCACCTCAGGGTACACTGCAGACAAAGTCAGAAGATCGTCCTCATAGCAGAAGCGGCCAATAGTCCGTACGTCGATGAACGTACCCTCAGGTGTTACTTGAAAGACGTGAATAGTCTGTTGCTGCACAGAGAGAATGGCCAAGATGTTCTTATAGAGGTACAGCCCCTGGTTGTGAGACAGGATGACTTTGTCACATTTGAAAGTCCGTGTGTCGCAGAGTCTGCCTGTGTGGAGGTCTATGATATGCAAGGAATAATCCTCCAAGGGAGACCGGGGATTAGGTGTCACCGACTCGCTGTTGCGGTAAACCTCGAAGAAGGGAGGGTGAGGCTCCTCGGGCAGGTACGCAGCAGAGCCGACGATCACATAGCGACAGTCGTCAGTGAACAAGCTGCACTCGCGGTTCAAGTGCTCCCCGTTGGAGGCCACGTTGGTGATATGGAGCAGGACAAAGAAGCGTTCAAAAAGCCGCCCCCGGATGTTGACAGATCTTTGGTCATTGCCGTTGGCCAGGATCTCTCCCTCGTAGCCTTGCAGGAGGTCTTCTGCTGCCTGGCAGCCTTGATACTCGTAGATCTCCAGAGAGGTCTGGTCAGAGGAGAAGGCGATGAAGTAGCGGCCGTCAGGGGAGAACTTGCGCAAGAAGCAGGGTGGCTTCTCCACATTGACCACAGTGAAGTTGGGGAAGACATTCTGGTGGAAGACACGGACTTGGTGCCAGTGGGTGCCAGCTTTGCCTGAGCTGATCCGGCGGCGCTCCAGGCGGTGGATAACATTCTGGTTCTGGATGCGGCGGGGCCTGATCGTGGGGGCGTCATGGTCCATGGTCAGAGCTCTACTTCATCTTCACCCTGCCGGGGAGGGAGCACATACATGCCATGGGACCACACAGAGACAGAGGAAGAATTCAGGGTACTGAGGGACCTGCTTGCAGGGACGGGGTGGGGGAAACCCCCATAGCACCCAGGGAGCAGGGGGCTCAGCTGAAAAGTGCAAACATGCCTTTGGAAAAGGGGAAGATGACACAGGAAGACACTGGGGAGAGAGAGAGATGAAGAAATAGGAAGAGAAATCTCGGTGGGAGGTACCAGAGAAAACATACGAACCCAAACGGAACCTCAGTGCACCAGGGGGTGGTGGGATCTGCAGGCCTGTCTGCTGACAAGGGAAATACAGGCGAATACCACACGCAAGTACCGGGAGGGGACGGAGGGAGCCAAGGAGGGGAACAGGCACAGGTGGAACCCAAGGGAATGGAGCGAGCCCCCAGGCAGCCGAGAGAGTGAGGGGAAGCAGGGATAATCCGTAGACCTGCCCGCTGACAGGAAGGTGCAGGACAGCAGCTTGGAAAGAATGGAGAGAGCTGGGGGTGGGGTGGCACAGGAGGGGTCACCGGGAGGCCTACGGACCTGCCT